TGAGGGAGGTGCTGGGTAATCAATGTAGTCCTGGGGCAGGAGCAGTATGGATGCAGAGGATTGAGGGAGGAGTCAGATGGATGGAGATGACGGAGGGAGGAGCAGTGTGGATGGGGAAGACCTAAGGAGTTGCCAGGGTGACAAGGCAGAGTGAGGGAGGCGGCAGATAGATGGTAGGACTGAGGGGAGAGCAGGAAAGAGGCAGAGGGTAGAGGCAGGCACAGAGTGGATGTTGGGGACTGAGGGAGGCACAGCCTGGATGGCGAGTACTGAGGGAGGGACAAGATGGACTTGGGGAGGATCAGGGTAGGAGAGGGCTGAGGGAGGAGCATGGTTAATGTAGAGGTGTGAGGAAGGGTGGAGGGCACTGGGGGAGGAACAGGGTGTATGAAGAGGACTAAGGGATGAGCAGGGTGGATTGGGAGGACTGTGTTTGGAGCCAGTAAGGGAGGATCGGGGTCAATGAGGAGGACTGATGGAGGAGAGGAGCAGCGTGGATGTGGGAGACACAGGGAGAAGGAGGGTGGATGAGGAGGAGTGAGGGTCCAGCAGGGTGAACTGAGAGGACTGAGGGAGAATCAGGGTGTATGAGTGATGGAGGAGCTGGGTGGATGGAGAGGACTGAGAGAAGAGCAGATTGGATGGGGAAGACTAAAGGTGGAGCAGGGTTGAGGAGGCAGGGGGGGGGAAGATCAGGGCCTTGATAAGGTTTCAGCAGATGTCCCTCACTTCAGGTGACTTTAGTCCTTGGACTTTAGTTCTCCTGTTTGTAAAGTGGAGATAGAAGGTAGAACAATGGTCTCTTTGGCCTATGCCAGGTTTTCCCTCCGTGCTAAGGGTTATGACCTTCACTATGAAGGACAGACCTTGAAGCGCCCTCTAAGAATCTGGAAGCAGTAAGGTGTGCCTTATTCCAGGTCAGCATCCCCCTTATCCAGCCCTTCTCCAGTGAGGACCTAGGGCCTGGGCTGGTAGGAGATGAGCTCCTCTGGCAGATCCCATATTGAGTCCCAAGAGCAGAGTCTGACAATCAGCCTTCTCCAAGCATCAACTAAATGCTTCCTCTCCATGTGCTACTTCCTTCTGTCCCTGCCGGAATGTATCTAGGCAGCTCCTTTGCTTAAGAACTCAGACTCCAGTTCACCATCTGGCTGACCTTGAGGGTGCTGGCCTCAACAGGACCCATTCGGTGGCTTTGTGCAAATGAGAAAAAAGCAGGTCTTCTTCAGGTGGAATCAACCTCTCACCAGAGCTCACCTAGTGGCAAGCTGAACGTGAAGTCAATTTTAGTCTGTCATTCACCAGCCAGATGTCACATGCAGTGAACAACCTGTACAGCTAACTCAGAGGACCTCACTCTAAAAATGACGGAGACTGTGGCTGGGACTGAAAACATATCTGGGCATTAAGGCAAAGAAGGCATGAGGAACTGGCCTTAAATTCCAAAGGGGGATGTTTGCAAGAGTGGGATAGGGATGAAGTTCTCCTGCCCCTTTGGATAACTCCCCTAGGAAGTGACCTGGTTCTACAGGAAAAGTCAAAGAAAGCTTATAGAAGATAAAAAATCTTGGTGCGGGGCTGGGGATGTGGCTCAAGTGGTAGCGCGCTCGCCTGGCATGCGTGCGGCCCAGGTTCGATCCTCAGCACCACGTACAAATAAAGATGTTGTGTCCGCCGAAAACTAAAAAATAAATATTAAAATTCTCTAAAAAAATTATAAAATTAAAAAATCTTGGTGGGTTAGAAGTCATCTATTTAGGCTGGATATAATACCTGGGGGAGAGGGGCTGGCTAGGCAAGTGATTGCTCATTAAGGTACCAAAATGTTTATGGTGGTTTATTTCTTTAGTTTGTAATATGCATACATATATCTGTGTATTTGGTTTTTGGAGATGAGACCCAAGTCCTCAAGCAGGCTAGGCAATCATCCTACCACTGAGCTACATCTCCAGACCTTTTGAGATAGGGTCTTTCTAGGTTTCCCCGTCTGGTCTCAAACTCACAATGCTCCTTCATCAGCCTCCAGAGTAGCTGGGATTACAGGCATGCATTGCTGCTCCTGTTTCATCTGTGGGGCTTTTACCTTTAAATATTTGAAGGATTTTTTTAGAATAAAAAATAAGATGGTTATTTTGGTTTGAAAAACAAATACACAGTCTATGTCAGCTATGTCTGCAGAGTCTGTGGGCACCCTCTTTCCCCTACCCAGTTCTTGATTCCCAATCTAAGAAGTTTACACTTGCTAACTGGATGGGGAACCCTAGACACATCTCGACAGGAGAGTACTAGGGTCAGGTATGGATGCTAGAACTATCCCTCTAGCTATCTCAGGATAGTGATCTGGTTGGAAGGCTCAGGAAAGCAGACAGACCCATCAGGAGGCTCCTACCTAAGCCAGGGAAGACAAGATACAGGAGAATTGAAGAAAAAGAATCTGGGACAGGACTTGTGGATCCTGGAGGAGGAGAGGAGAAACAAAAATTTCCTAATTTCTGGCTCAAGTCACTGAGCAGCAAATTTTAGAAGACAGAGAACCCCGGAGAGGAGAGGGGTGTGACTGCTTTGAGAGCCATTGGTGAGTGGGAGGAAACAGAATGTGGGGCATCCCTGTTAGCTCAGGATTAAAGTCCCTTGGCCATTCCCTCCCACCCCCTGTATCCCCCCTGCAGACACAGAGCTAAATGGCAGAGACTTGGCTGCTCCTTGGGTCCCATGGTGACTGCCTTTGAAATCCCCTCAAGAGTGGCTCTCTTTGTGGCCTAGGCCACTCTCCCAGGCTCCTCAAAGAGGCCGCCTGCTCTCCCTTCCCCAATTACCTAGAGCGGCCATGGCTCCAGAGGACAAGGTGGCTCCCTTTGGCCACTGCCAGGAGCCCAGATAGATCTGGAGTCAGGCTGGCTTGAGACTGTAGCTTTCTTGCTGTGACTGAGCAAGTTACTTCCTCTCTTAGCCTTTGGTTCCCCATCTTTTTGCAGGACTAGTGATAACTCCCAATCCTTGGCCTTAACACATTAATGTTTGTCCAACACACACACACACACACACACACACACACACACACACACACAGAGCATGTGAAGCTACTGTGTAGACACTCATGAGTCACCCAGTCTTGCTAAGCATAAGTGTGATAATATCAGGTGCCCGCTCTGTCCTTGAGCCTGACCTTTTGAGCCCTGATCCATCTGGTGAAAAGGGAATCCAACATTTTAATGCCCCTGCTTCAAGGCTGATTGATTTGGCCTGTCCCTCTTTTCTACTTACGCAATCCCTAGTGGGTGGAGTCTCCAGAAGAATTGATCCTGAGTGGAAGGCATGGCCTCGGGGCCTTGGGTATAATCCTTAGAACTGGGGTGAGGCAGAGCTGCAGTTTGAAAGGGACTTGCTGAAGGCTGCAGGCCGGGCCCACCTTCAGCCACAATGACAGGAAGTGGAGAGGGCTGAGAGGGGGCTACTAGAGACCACTCAGTCCTGCAAGCCTCCATGGCAGTGTGGTTGGGAATCCTGGGCAGCACAGGCTGCCAAGGCAGGAAACCCAGCCCAATGCCCTTCCCCCAGCCACCTAATCCCCAGGCCATTTATCCAGGGTTGCTCCTCACTGGCTCTCCTCCCCAAGCCCCAGCTGCCCAAGGCCCCACACATAAAGTAGGAAGATAAGGACCTCTTTCAAAGCAATGTCAGGAGGCTCCTGTAGCCTACTCCAGAAAAAGTGACTATGGAGTCACCTGGCGTATTCCAGGCACAGGGAAAAATTTAGAAATATTAAAACACTCTTGCACAGAGACCCTCCCTGAGTTCACAGGACAGCTCGACCCCTCCTGTGGCTCTGCACCTGGACATGGAAACAAGTTCTCAGGTCCCCTCAGTGCAGGCGAGGGACAAGCTTACCTGACAGGACTTGGGAGAACAGACCAGCTCAGCTCCACCCTGCCCTATGAGTGACCTTGAGCAAGGTACCAACCCCGTAGAGCCTCCCCTTCTCAAGTGTGAAATGGAGTTACCTTCCTCATTGGGTGGGTGCAGGATTAAAGTGCTCTGTTTAACTCTGACACATGGAAAGGTCAAAACTGGCCATTCTATGAGGCTACTGCTGCTACTGTTGATGATGGTGATGGTGATGGTGGTCCTGTGGGAGAGGGGCACTCTACTGTCCCCCCCATTATCTATTCAGCCCCTCCCCTCTCTCTGAGGGGAGAAGACACCTCCCTAGGCCTGAAGAGTGGGGAGCTTTGGTGTACCCCTAACCTCACATGCCCCCTTAGCATTCCTGCCCTTTGCTGCACAGAGACTTGATGGAGCGTGCCCTGGCGCCCCAGCCACAACTTGTTTCAGCTTCAAGATCCTGCAGTGCTGCCCTGCTTGAGTGCCCTCTCACATGCATTGCCTTGCAGTTTCCCCTGCCAGGAACCCCTTACTTCTGCATTTATGAGAATTTCAGATCTGTACCCTTATCAGGTGTCCTCCAACCCCCACCCTGTCCACCTCTACCTTTGGTCCCTCTCCAGACGCACATCTGAACATGTGGGAGGACATGGCCTCGCAGCCCCACCTAGGTTGACCAAGGAGGACTAGGCTGATATGGCCTCCTGCCTGAGCTCTGGCCCAGTGACAAGGGTCAGTGTTCAGCTCATGGCAAGGGTCAGGGGTCCTTCTGTGATGATGATCCAGTTGAGACTGTGACAATAATAGAATTTACATTTCCCCTGGAATGAGGGTGGGTCATGACAAGGGGTAGGACTAAGCCCAGGACTGTGTGATCTGATTCTGCTGTCTGTTCAGAAGGTCCCCTGGCACTCTGAAGGGGCTCCTCCCTGCCTCAGGTGCCCTGAGGGTCTGAATGAGAGCAGCTGGAGCCTGGCGGCATCAGGAGTCAGTGGGAATAGGACTGTAATCTGCCTCGTGCCCAGCACAGAGGCCGCCAGGCCCCTGTGGCCTGCTCCAGGGACTAGTCCTCCTCCTGGTCTCAGCCTCTCTCCTCCCTGCTCTTCTCTCCCATCTAGGCCGCAACGTGAGCCGCAGCTGCACAGATGAGGGCTGGACACAGCTGGAGCCTGGCCCCTACCCTATTGCCTGTGGCTTGGATGACAAGGCATCAAGTTTGGATGAGGTGGGCCTCAGTGCACCCTCCCCCCACCCCCAGCTCACCTCAGCCCACCCATGCTCCTTTCGGCCTCCCATGAGGTTGCCATGTGTGCAGGAGCTGGACTCCTGGGACCTGCCCTCCAAGACTCCCTCTCCAAGCATGGGTTTCTGGAGACTCATCCCCTCAATCCCCCTGACCGCATGCATTGCAGGTGGAGGGTGGTTCATGAGGACAGCACACAGAAAGTTGTCCCCAGTAGAAGAAGCTGAAGCAGTAACCACAAGCTAGGCCACCCCACTGTCTTGAGGGAGCCTGGTTCCAGCCTGGGGGTGGCACGGCAAGCAGATACCATCACCCTGTTGTGTCCAGATGGAAATTGAGGTGCAAAAAGAACCAGCCCCAGATACCCAACATCACATCAGGGACAGGATAGGAAAAGGGCACATTGTCCTCAGTCTGAGGACAGGGATCTGTCCCTGAAGCAAGTAGAGCACAGGTGGTCTCTGAAGAGATTTGAGGAACCACTTAGTAATATGGATGTGAAGGCTGGATGATAACAGTAGTCCTTAGCTAGAAGCCCCTCACTGCTTTGGGGTGTAAACATCCCTGTGGGACTGTGATGACATCTGCCCCACTCCAAGACACCCCATCAGACAGCTTTCCTGTCTTTGAAGGGAGCAGTAATTTCCTAAAAGGCTTCTGAAGCCTACCAGAGCCTTCAGCCCTAACTCCCCAGAATCCCTCTTAACCCCTTACCTCTCCTTAGGCACAATGTGGGTCATGGAGGAGAAAGTGGGGCTTACCAAGAGACTGTCACTCTGCATGTGTGTCCACAGGGAGGGCACTGAGGGAGGGGGCCAAGTGAGAAGCCTTGGGATCCAGTGTTGTCCTGTCTCCTACAGAAAGGCTAGCTTTTTCTCACCCTGCTGCCCCCAGCCACTGGGAACCCCAAATGGGAAATTACGCCCCATGTCTTCTTTAACAGTCTGCACTCCCTGTGTGCCTCCCCAAGCTACATAGAAAGAGGGCTTCATGTGCAGGTCTGAAAGGACAGCAGCCTTGGTCTCCTGGGGCCCTGAGCCCAGAGTTGGCACAGCAGGGCCAGACACATGACTGAAGAATGAATGAATCAACAAGTGGAATGTGTGAGGTCTCCATTCTGTCCCTCACTGACACATCCCTCTTGAAGAGAGGGAGTGACTTCAACCCTCACCACACCCCGGGACATGGTTGTGTCCTGGAAACTGAAGTGTTAGGGGGTTGGTGGCACAAAGGGCACTGCTCAGCTCTTCTTAGGAGCCCTGGGCCATAGCCTCCTCATCTGCCAGGGTCTGGCAGGCAGAGTGTAGAGCCTCTAGGTGAGCCCACCTCGCCCCCCCACCCAAGATCCTTGCCTGCCTCCCTCCAGCAGCAGCAGACAATGTTCTACCACTCCGTGAAGACTGGCTACACTATCGGCTACAGCCTGTCCCTTGCCACGCTTCTGATCGCCACCGCAATCTTGAGCCTGTTCAGGTAAGACCCCGCCTGGGCATTAGGCTTCAAAGCAGTCCCAACGAGTATCATTCCCATGGTTGAGCCCCGCCTCTGCACTGTCAAACCCCAAGCTAGTTCACAGTCCCTGCCCCAGCCCTCCTGAGAGGCCAGCCTCCTCTGGATGGCAGGTGGTCAAGATGTGCCATCTGCCGCAGCCTAGTCACCCACAGGATGGCCTATAGCTGTGGATATGGCACCAGAGGTTGGGTGCACCCTGGCTGAGGCTCCTCGGATGCACAAGAGAGTGGGGTTCCTGAAGTTGGGCCCACCGTTTGGGATGGGACCCCCTTGGAGGCTGGACCTGTACTCTGGAGCCCACATGCTTCTCAGCCCCACCCCTTTAATCAGAGCACAGGTCCGTGTTGGCTGGGAGGAGTGTCCGAGGTCTTTCCAGCCTCCCTTATCTGCCTGCCCCATGCAGGAAGCTCCACTGCACGCGGAACTACATCCACACGCATCTCTTCGTATCCTTCATCCTGAGGGCTGCTGCCGTCTTCATCAAAGACTTGGCCCTCTTCGACAGCGGGGACTCAGACCACTGTTCTGAGGGCTCGGTGAGGACTCTGCCCTGGCCCCCTCCCTCAGTCTTGCCTTCATCTTTAATCATGTGAATCTCCTCTTCCTCCCTACTTCTCTCCTCTCCCTTCTCACTCCCTCCCTCCTCCTACCCTGCCCTCCTTCCCTCTTCTTTCTCTCTCTCTCTATCTTTCTCTCCAGGAATGGCCAACCCCTCTACCCAACTCCGTGATAGCTCCTCAAATCTCACTCCTCTCCCAGCACCTGATCTTACAGCCTTTCCTCTTATAGACCTTTCCTACCAGTGAGCAACACAGGTGGAAAGTGGGATATCTCACAGCCACAGACTAGGGCCTACACCCTACCTCCACTGCTAACATTCTGTCGGCCTTGAAAATTCCCTGCCTTAGTTTCCCCATCTGCAACCAGGGCTCTGCTCACCATGCCACCCTTCCTACTCCCCACCCGCTCCTCTTGCCATCTGGATTCCGTCCAAACACTGTTCTGAAGCCTTCCTCTTCTGTTCTTCCCCTGCCCTCGGTCTAGTTCTGGACCTTCCTGTGGAGGGGAGGTCAAGGGAGCCTCTAGGGAATTAATTGCTAGTCACTAAGAGGTTCATCTCCAAGTGATTCTGAGCCAAAGACCCCTCTCTGGGTGTCCCTGTCCTGGGACAGAGAGCTTGACAGTGGCCCTGGCTCTGTCCCATCCCTTGTGGGTCAAGGACTCATTGTTTCATGAATGATCCAAGAGAAAGTACCTGATATCAAGGGTCAGCAATACCTTCCCCCAGGGAATGAACCTATGATGGTTGAATCTCAGGAATCTCCAGAAGAGGGGAAGAAACCCCAGTGTTCATTCCACAAGGTGGGGACCAAGTGCAGTAGGGACCTCAGAGCCTGGGGAGCGGCCTGCGGCCTCCAGCACCCTTGCTGAGGATAATTGTGAAAACTGTCTTCCCAATTCATTTTATTAGCAGCCTTGTGAAGCTTTTCTATGGCAAAGGAAAAGCACCGAAAATTGTCCTGTTAAAGAACTGAGTATGCTTGTTGTAAAGCTAATGATGGGGAAAGGTAGGGAAGCAAGCACACCTTGCAGCTGGAGGGACAGAAATGTGGCCTAAGGAAGGACTTCACCTCCCTAGGGAGGGAATATGAAGCTTCTCTCTGAGGATATCTCAAAACCAAGGGGATGAGAAAGAAGGGTGGGAACCTATATTCTGGGTACAAGGAAGTAGAAGAGGAGAGTAGCTTTAAGCCCTGGCTCAAGGCATCTTGGTTTCATCTGAAATAGAGACTGTTTCTGGGAGGGGACAAAAAGGCCCAGAAGACTTTCCAGTCATGCCAGATGGGCCACCTAGAATCCACTGATTGCTCTACTCTAGGGTCTCCCTGACTCCTTCATTGTCCTTACGTCCCTGGGGAACCCATTCATCCAGTAGCTCCATTGGCCCCCAGAGAAATGACCACCCCTTCCCTCTTCTTCTTTTCCTCATTTCTTCTTCTTTCTCCTCTACCTTCTTCTCAGTCCCAGTCTCTCCTCCACACTTCCTTGGCCCCACTCCACGGCCCACAGCCTGTACCCCCAAGCGGTCAGTAGACTCTTGAAAACTCAAGCAAGACTTTGCCCTCATATTTCTCCCAGCTACTTTCAGTCCTAATTGGAATAAGATGAATGCGTGGGGACAGAGGACGGGAAGGGGATGGGATGGTTGGTGAATGGGTAAATGGTAAATGGGTCCATGGGTGGCTCAGTAGGCAGAAAGAGAGATGGATTAAGTAAGGAAGATTGAAGAGATGATGGGTGAGGGGTAGGAGGGTAGGCAGGTGGAGAAATGGATGCATGAGTGGGTTGATGGGTGGATGGATAGGTGAAAGGATGGCTAGCTGGGTAAGTGGGTAAGGTTGGTAGACGAATGGAGAGATATATAGGCAAGTGAGGGAATGGATTGATGGTGGGGAAGATGAATAGATGATAGATGAATGCATGGACAGCAGATGAACAGATGAGTTGGTGACAAATGTCTAATGGGTGTGTAAATGGATGGACAATTAAAATTGCTGACTTGCTGGGTGCAGTGGCGCACACCTGTAATCTCAGCAGCTCGGAAGACTGAGGCAGGAAGATCTTGAATTCAAAGCCAGCCTCAGCAAAAGTGCCTCAGTGAAATCCTGTCCCTGAATAAAATATAAAATAGGGCTAGGGATATGGCTCAGTGGTCGAGTGCCCCTGAGTTCAATCCTGGGACCCTCCCCCCCAAAAAAGAATTGCTGATTTATCCCAAAGCATCAGATGATCTAAAATCAGGAATGGTGGGAAAACCATCAAGTACATTCTAAAACAACAAAGAGATTAAGTTGGCTGGGCCACAACTGTGTTTGTCCCTGCAGAATTATGGGTAATAAGGGATCCCTGCTAGCCCTAATGAACCCCCTTTTTCTCCTCCCTGCAGGTGGGCTGTAAGGCAGCCGTGGTCTTTTTCCAGTACTGTGTCATGGCCAACTTCTTCTGGCTGCTGGTGGAGGGTCTCTACCTGCATACCCTGCTTGCCGTCTCCTTCTTCTCCGAGCGGAAGTACTTCTGGGGGTACATACTCATCGGCTGGGGTATGGTACCAGGGAGGGCTGTCAGGCTGGGAAAAGAGGGGGCAAGGCCTGGGAAGTTCACTGGGGGGGTGCCAGCCCAACCCACAGTCTTAGTTGCTGCCTACAAGGATCTTGACCAAGGATAATAAAAGTTACTGGAATATCTGACCCTGGGACAGGAGCCGTTAGGCTGCAGATGCAACTAGGGTCACTCTGAGGGACAGATCAGCTTTCCATTTTCCCTTTAGTCACTGTCACATTCAGAGCCACTGCTAATCTGTAAGATGCCTATCAAAATTAGAAAAAGACTGTCCCTCACGGTGGGACCACAGCCCTATGGGCACACAACTTTGCCACCTTGAGCATCTTTGCACAAGGAAAACCCCTTATAACCACAGACAGCAGCCCTGAACCACACCCTTTTCTCTCACCCCCTTCTCTCTGGTTCTTTGTCCTAAATCTCTCCCTCGGCTCTTCTACCCTTGCTTCCTGTGCCCTCTCCTCTCTTTGTCTCTCCTTTGTCCCTGACAGGGGTGCCCAGCACATTCACCATGGTGTGGACCATCATCAGGATCCAGTTTGAGGATTATGGGTGAGCGGTCACCCTGCCCCCACCCCTCAGCTTCCATCACTTGGGTGAGATCCCCTGGGTGGAATGGCAGGTGGACAGTGTCCCCCAGAGGGGAGGTTGGAGGGAAGAACAGACTCTGGGCCCATTGTCTCTAGGGCTTGGGACAGAGCCAGGGACAGTGGGGGTGACTACTGACTCTCTCTGACTGAGAACCATCTCTTGTTCCCCTGCTCATACTCTGATCAGGTGCTGGGACACCATCAACTCCTCATTATGGTGGATCATAAAGGCCCCCATCCTCACCTCCATCTTGGTAAGACTTCCTCCCACCCCGTGGAGTTGGAGAAACTCAGACCCAGATTGGAGATGCAACTTCCCTCAGGTCACACAGGAAATTAGTGTCTAGGTCAGAGCTGAACTGTTGGCTTCCTGCTGCCTGATATGGGGTCATCCCATCTCCATGCCACCAGCTCTTCCTCTAGAGTAAATGGGTTGGGAGGCACGGTCATTAGAGATGTGAAGTAGAGGTCCTAGATGACCATCCCAAAGAGGGAAGAGCTAGTGAGGGGCAGCATAACTCCAGAAAGACAGGCCATCAGCCTGGAAGACTAAACATCCCCTCTCTGAGTGACCAACCTCCATGTCCCCATTCCACCAGGTGAATTTCGTCCTATTTATTTGCATCATCCGAATCCTGGTTCAGAAACTGCGACCCCCCGATATTGGGAAGAATGACAGCAGTCCATACTCGTGAGTGTGGGCCCAGTGCTCTTGTCCCCTACCTCCTCTAACCCCAGCCCTCAAAAAACCTTGCATCCCCTTGAAGAACCCCTGTCCCGAACCTCTAGAGTCACCAAAAAAGCCACATTGCTCTTGCCCACCACCATTCCATGGCCTGGCTCAGTCTACCAGTGTCCCTTTTCCTGCCCACCTCACCAGGCTGCCCTCAGAATCCCTTGTCTGCTTCTTCTCCACTAGCTCACCTGGCGTCGTTCCCAGGTACACATCGCTGTCAAGCCACAGAGCTCAAGAGGACAGAGATAACCTGTGTCTTGTTCGTACTGTGTACCCAGTCCCTGGCATGTGCATGGTACAGAAAAGGGGTGCAATAAATGCATGGCAGATGAAAGCCCTAGGGGAGTCCCCAGTCTACCAGTGTTACAGCCATGTTCAGACTCAGTATTATAATAAGGACATCTGCAATTTACATGTACTAAGGGATCTCCATGTATTGTCTCATCGTATCCACACAGTCCCCTGTAAAATTGCTCTCCAGGGCTCGGGATCACATGATCATAGGCAAGGAGAAAGGGGAATGATGTCCATGGGACAGTAAATATGTTCCTTGCTTGGAAAGGCATGAGGGCTGTTCCCTGTGCTTGCAAGGACTAGAGACAGAGGCAGGTTTTTATTGGAGCAACAGGATTGAAAAGCAGAAATAAAGAAACGTGAAAATATGAAAAGGGCTTTGGGAAGGTGAGTAGGGTCTGCATGCCCAGAGACGGGAACAGGAGATTGAGCATCCGTGCTGTGCAGACAAGACAAAGCTGGCAGTGCCACATGGGATTTCTGGTCCTGGGATCTTAGAATGTTCTTGGCCCGGCTTTTCTTTCGACATTGTGTGCTGTGGCTCCAGATTCCAGCTATAATGTCACGAGCTGCTGGATTTAGGATTCTATTCTGGAATCGTGTGATTCTCTCTGATGAGACTTAAGACTCACGTCCCTGGTGTGACCGCGTCCTCTCCTGCCTGCCAGGCGTGTAGGTGGAGCGTCCCCTCCTGTTGAAGAAGGGAAGGCCCAGTGAGGGTCTGCAATCTGCTGAGGAGCAGCACATCCGGTTGTGCATGCTCACCCTCTCCTGTGCCCGTGGAGCCTCATTTCCCCCAACATGCAAATGGGCTTGAATCTGAGGGAAAGAATCTGAGCTGGGCCTGGCCAGGTCCGTGTGGGTGAGCTAGATGGGAAGGGAACAGCTGTCATCAGGCAGAAGGGGTGGCAAGAGCTGGAGATGGCGCTCCCCGAGGAGGGGCTGTCAGCTCCCACTCTCCACCTCCCCATAAGCCTTCAATTTAAAGAAAGCCTCCATCTGTCAGCCTCAGTGAAGGATAGGTTTGTGGCCAAGGAAGGGTGGGCAGTGCTCTGGATCCTTGCATGGGTGGGAGCCAAGCCCAGGAAGGAGTGGGAGGGGGTAAGGCCAGCTCCTCTGCTCCCAGGTTACTGGGGGACCTCAGACCCAGGATAGCCCCTCCCCCCTGGACTGACTTCCAGGAGAGGAAAGATAGGGGCAGAGACAACCCCTACCAACCTCTTCCCAGACTTCCCCCATCCAGGAAACCATGGGTTCACACTGCCTGGACCAGCTGTGAGGTCAACTGGTACAGAATGAGCCCTGTGCCATGGAAGAGAGGAGAGAATTTAGAGTGAATGCTGACCCTGCTGAGCACTGGTGAAGAAGGAGTTGGTCCTTAGCAACATGAGAGAAGCATACTGGGAACGTGTGCATTGGTGTGCAGAGGTGGGGGAGTGCGGGAAAGGGATGCAATCCCAGGGAAGATGGCAACTCCTGGAGAGGTGGACACAGCAGAAAAGCTGAAGACAGAGAGCTGTACTGAGTAACCCTAGTGACCAGGCATAAACTTGGGCACTCGCCATACTCCCAAGGGGCCTTGGACCTATGGCACTGCAGCTGGAAAGATTTTCCCTCCCCGAAGTCCTCAATCCCAATTAGGAAAATGCACTGTTTTGTAGCACCCAAAGCACTTCTGAGTTTACAGTAGGCCCCCGACTCTGTTACTTGACTGTGTTGTGCATACATTTACCTGATTGTATAGATTGGAGAAACCAAAGACCAGGAGAGGGAGAACCAGGATCTCTTGTTGCCTGAGAACATCTCCCTAGTAGCTGAAATCCCACACTTACACATCATCCACACTGGCCTCTCCTTTATATTCTCTTCTCTGTAAAGATGAGAATAGAGGGACTTTCTCTCTCATGCTTTCCTCCGGGCTTGGAGGCCAAGGGCGTGAGGGCAGTGGCAATGCAGATCTAGGACAGGAACAGATGTGGGTATGACATGTAGGGGAGCCAGCAGTCCCTCCTCGCCTTGTTTGCATATGTCATGCCTCAGCAACCCCACACCAGGCCCTATGGTATCCACATGAGTAGACACACCTGCCCACAGCTGGCCCTCCCTGTCCCCAGGAGGCTGGCCAAGTCCACGCTCCTGCTGATCCCCCTGTTTGGAGTGCACTACATCATGTTCGCCTTCTTCCCAGACAACTTTAAGGCTGAAGTGAAAATGGTCTTTGAGCTCGTCGTGGGATCTTTCCAGGTATGAACCGTTGACTTCAGGATGCATTCTTCTTAGGGCTTTAAGGGATTTCAACCTGGACTCTTGGGCTCTTGCCACTGAACTCCAATCTTATTGTGATAAGTGTTGGTTGAGCATCTACTTTGTTGCTTAGTCCTTTTCTTAACCAGAGGAACACAGGGATTGTGTGAAGCCAAAGGCGGGGTGGGGCTGGGAGTTCCTGCTATCTGACCACCTCACTTATGCTGTCCCCTTCCTCCCCAGGGTTTTGTGGTGGCCATCCTCTACTGCTTTCTCAATGGTGAGGTAAGTCCTTCCTACACCTTGAGAGCCAGGGTCCATTAACACTGATGGGCTATATGCAGAGCAAGGACAGGTTTTAAACCTCACTATTAGACTATTAGCAACTGTGTCAACCTAAAACCTGTTAAAAATGCAGATCTCTGAGACCACCCCAGACCTGCTGACCTAGAATCTGCATTTTAACCCTTTCCTCTGGGTTCAGGGCTGATTGCTGTGCTCAGCAGAGCTGGAGAGGCATCTAGTTGTCTGTATACAGAGTTGAGTGGGGGTAGGGCAGCGAGGGAAGGTGGAGTTGCTGTGGAGTCCTGGCGACAGAGCAGGGACATCCTCATGGATGAGCTCCAGTGAGTTGGAGTGTGGCGATGGGAAGAACCAGGGTACAGCCACCCCCAGTCAGCACCCTTATGGTGCCTGAAATTCCACCACTGCAGTCTAGGCTGCATTCTGTGATCCTCTTTGCCTCCCACCTCCCCCCACTCCAAGGTCCTGATTTGATCCTGGCCCCAAAACGTTCCCAACTCTGCACAGCCCGAGAAACAGCATCTGGGTGTCTCAATTTAGACTTCCAAAGAGGATATGACTGGTTGGCTCAGCACCCTAAATAGACAACAGCAGAATTGGCCCGTGGAGTGGAGAAAGCTCCAAAGTGGCGGGCCCGACCACCCTCCTCTCTCCTAGGTGCAGGCTGAGCTGCGGCGGAAGTGGCGACGCTGGCACCTGCAGGGCGTTCTGGGATGGAACCCCAAACACCAGAACCCGTGGGGAGGCAGCAGCGGCGCCACGTGCAGCACGCAAGTCTCTATGCTGACCCGCGTCAGCCCCAGCGCGCGCCGCTCCTCCAGCTTCCAGGCCGAAGTCTCCCTGGTCTGATCACCCCAGGCCCGGGGAACCAAGGCGGGCCCCTTCAGCCTCTTCATACCCACCATGGCCAGCACCCGGACAGAGGCCTGCCCGAACGTGGGCAGCCACAGGCTGAGGCTGGAAGGCTGCCCTGGAGCCCTGTTCAAACACTCCTGTAGAACTTTTGCACCTCTGCAGTACTTCTACGTGGGCTGGAGAGCTGGGAGCTCCTCCCCTGGAGGATGCGATGGAAATATCATCAGACTCCTTCCTCCTCCAAAGGGTCCCCTGCCGATCAAAGGCAAGAAATCTGCATACTCTCCTCCGGATTGCTCCCGTGGTCTTTTCTGACAAATCGAATCGGAGCAAAGAAACTACCCATCCTCAAAGTTTTTGTCATCTGAGGGCAAAGAGGTTTTGTCCCTACAGATCATCCACCACCACAACCCTTATGATGCCTGAAATTCCACCACTGCAGTCAAACTCCTTTAAGTTAAGCATTGCCATGCAGGCATCTTTCTGAAGAGGCAGTGCCCCCCACCTCCCCCATGCCCTCTTACCTGCCATCTCTCCAGGTGAGTGAGTTTCTCTACCTCGGGCAGATAAGATTGTGGTTTGGAGTTTGTGTTTAGGGAGCACAGCTATCTTTGTGAGACCCACTGAAGTGGAGTGGGTTCCAGCATCTATCAGGTTGGGCAATGCAACCCAAGGACTGAGGAACTCTGGGGCCTTGGGAAGGAAGGAGACTGCATCAGCAAATGCTGAGACCTAACACTAAGCCCACCTGCTCTCCAAGCTTCCATGGCTTCATCTATAAAGTAGGATCAGTCACACCAGCCTTACGCACAACCAAAGCATTCAAGATCTTTTCTCCTTGGCTGCTCACCTATGTGCCAACTATTGAACTAGGCTCAGAGATGTGCACTCATGGGCCCTTTAATGCTCACATCAACCCAGCCAGGCAGGAATTAATCTCCCAATTTCACAGATGGGAGACTCTCTCTCAGAGAGAGCAGGTATCTCACCCTGTCTTATAGACAGGAATTGAACTCAGATCTGGCTGATGGAGAAGTGAAAACATAAGACTCTTACTTTACTACCTTTTTATGTATTGTAACCAGCTAAATCTTCTTGGCTTTTTGTATTACCACTGATATTGTTATTGCCATTATTCCTGAATCCCCATCACTACCCCAACCTTCATGGACTGTGGCTGAGTCCTCTAGCCCATGTGTCTCGACACAACAGTCTGGTGGTCAGAGTATACTATGTCTGTCATTCACCCATGTGGCCACGCAGCTTCTCATCCAAGCCTGTGCTGGAAGATCCCTTCCAACTGCAACAGGCTCATGCAACAATAAATGTTGACTTTAATTGGCTTGGTTCCCCCTGGTAGTTGTTGTTCCTATGTGGCCTGGCTTCTTATTTACAGCGTCTCCCCCTACTCCAAAGAGAGGTGAAGCCAGATGCCTCCATCCCTCTGGTTTTTGATAGGAATCCCATGTTTAAGGAGCACAAATTTTGAGGGATTTCAAATCACTTTTTGAGTTGTATCCTCTCTCTTTTTCTGAGTGCAATAAAGTTATTACACATCCACATTGTGACTCCAACCCCCTAAATCTAGCCCAAGGGGAGACCATTTTAGTCTTGGACCAATACAATACAGCTGACAGAGCTGCCCATGGTCCTAGAAATGGTAAAATTTCACAGGCCACAGTCATTCCTGAAAGCAAGAAGGAAACATGAAATATAATGATCATATATATAACCATTACCTAGGGTTCAGCCAAGAGCAGATAGAGGACAGAATAAATGTCACCAACATGAGACAGGGAACAGAGACAGTATGACTAACAGAAAGGCTTAGACCCAGAGACAGTATGACATCTGTCAGCAAGAGATACCTCCAAAGCTGTTGCCCAAGCTGACCTCTTTGGGTTCCACCTCTGCAAATTTGCAAAGAGCTTGTTTTGCTGGAAGAGCCAGTGACAGATGCCAAACTGGTAAAAAGAGGTCAGAAAGGACTGGCAAAGGCTCAGATCTGCCTACAAGCTTCCTATAAAGCCCGTCCTGTTCAGTAACATCCCAAGATGTATCCCACCAAATGAGAGAACCCCATGGACTGCTTGAGTTGTGTGAAGGTCAGGAGGAGCCCCATGCAGGAGCTGGACCCGGGCCATTCACCACAGTGCCTGAAATCCTCTCATGGCTTCAGGGTAAGGCAGGGAAGCCTGGAGGGGGAAGCAGGTATTATCCAAGAAGGTAGGGAGTGAACTAAGAAGAGAGACCCAAGATATGGACAACAAAAGTGAGAAGTGAGTTGGGGATCCTGTTCAGAGAGGTGACAGGAGGTGAGAAGCAGAGTGCTGGGCATTCCAGCTGGGAAGAAGCTGAAACAGTCTCAGGCAAAAGGCTTAGAAAACACAGACACCCCAGGCTGAGAACAGCCATGAAGTTGAGCAGGAACTTCTCCCTTCACCTCTCGGGTTACCCTAGTTCCCAAGTCCCTCTCCTGCCTGGTCAGGCAACTGTCAAGCCAGGCTAACTCATCTCTATTGCCACCTGGTGGGTGCTTCAAGGACTTCACCAAGGCTGTCCTCAATATCTCCATGCAGGTCCCTCTTCAGGAGGCCAAGTGACCCAGAAAGTAGACTCTGTCCTGAGCTCTATTCAGAGTGAGATGTAAAAAAAAAAAAAAAAAAAAAAAAAAGAAAAGAGGAAGTTGTATAGCCACAGGACTGGTCCTCAGGTTTAGTCTGGGATTAAGGAGACACAGGGCCTGGCCCTCAGACCAAGCCCCTAACCTCTACCATACATGAACCATGCCTCTGACCCAGCTGTAACCCTAAGTAAGAGCCCCAGCCTCTGGACTGGCCACAGGCTAGACTCTGTTTCCCTACTGAGCCCTGACCCCAGACTCTGAAGTCAAGGCCAGTTAGCTCAGGTTAGTCAAGGCGCCCCCACCATCCCAGCCCAGAGAGCTGCAATCCCCTCTGCCGGAGAGGCCACCATGTGGATAATTGTTGCCACTCCAGGGCACAGGCAATCCAATGAAGCTTTCTGGTCTGCCAGCAGAATTGATGGAGAACAGTTTCTCAGTTGAGGTGACACTGAGGTGGTCTCTAAGGATTAGGTAGGGATCTCCGAATCCATAGGCTTGTTGGGCGCCAGGGACACCTAAATCCAGGTGAGCAGATGCTGGGAGCTCTGTCTAGCAAGACAAAGGGGAGGGTTCACAAATGAGGTTGAGGGGAAGTCAGGGGATTTGTGGTAGGCCACTCTGGTTGCTGAAAAGGGCCCAAGGGGCAGATCTGGGGAGGGTTTCCAGTTCATCAACCAGGCAAGGGAGGAAAAAGAGAGCTGGGAGAGAATGACATGGTTTGGGACATGCTGAATTTAATGTATGTGGCACATCTGGGGAGAAGCCCCAAAACTTTTGAAATCAGGACCTGAGGAGGCAGAAATGTGGATGGCCATGATGGGGGAGCATGTGCAGGGGTATGTACCCCTAGACACCCCACACAGTGTGCTGGGCAGGAGTGGGGTGAGGAGTCAGAATCAGTTCTGACATTTCCACTGCTTGCCCAGGGCCTGTTTTTAATGAGCAGTGACCCAGCGTCCCCCTTCTCCCCGCATGTGGGAACAGGAACTGCCCTTATCTCTCCTGGGGGAGGGGGCCGGAGCCACAGCTGGCAGTCATTAAACACCCTGCTTGGGGCAGGGATGGTTGAGATATTAATAGCCAGGAGTCAATGGCCCTGGAGACATAGCCTCCCAGGAAGAGGGACAGTAACTTCAACAGGCCATGGGGACAAGGAGGACAGGTCAGGAGGCCATCTTGGCAAAGCCCCAGCCTCCGTGCATGACAGATGAAGTCCAGAGAAGGGAAGGGATATGCTTGGGATCACCAGTAAAGGCATTGGTAGAGCCTGACCTTGAACCCTGTTCTCCACATCCCAGAACCCTAACTCTTCTATTGTATGGATTGGGAAGGGGAGATCCTTGGGCATGCCCTGTTGTGAAAACACAAGAAGAGCAGATCTAGTTAGCAATACTGATTCTGTCTGTATTTAAAATCTTGATATTTTGTTCATCATGTATTTTTTCATTACTTTTGATTTTTTAACTATTGCATTAAAACATTATATACCTTGATTACCGAATTATTGTTGTTTTTTCCACCTTCTTTAATTCTGCACCTGAGGCAAGTTGCTCACTTATCTCACCTTAGTCCCAGTTCTGTTCCCAGGGGTCCCAGCATCCCTGAGTTACAGGATGTCGACATAGAAGAAACTTTGGTGACTTCTGGGTCTGCCTCTAGTGCCTCAGAAAGAAAGGATCCTGTCAGCGTGATGCCAGTGAGAAGGAGGCAGTTCCCAGGCTAATTCAGCAGCTCAATAATGTTGTCATAGACCTAGTATTTTCTCTCTCTCTCCACTCTACCATTCTCAGTGTGTTGGCTTTCCTCCTCAAGACTATTCCCTTGTGAATGCAAGATGGCTGTCACTGTCCCGAGCTTTATGTTCTCTTAGAACCTGGTCCACCAGCAGGAAGAAAAAATAGGGAAGATAACCTATCCAGGACCCACCTTCTGCATACTATCCTACACCCAGATTAGGAACATACCTAACCCCAGCTGTAAGAGACAGCAGGGTTCTATAAGGGAAGTTAGGAAGTTAGTTTCCTACTGTTGAGTAGGAAACAGAATCTGGCTCTCAGCTTGTTTTTGGATATCTCTGGGTAAGTGTGTGATCTTTGGATTTACTCCACCTAATCCTACTCAGAAATATGTGATAGAGGTGAGGGAGCCAAAATGGTCACGATTCAGTGTGAGGAGACAGAAAAGTCTAGGGGTTTGGTGCAGAGATACGCAATGCAGGAAATTTGATATAGGAAGACTTGCAGGAATGGAGTTAGGGCACACTTCTATGCTCATGGTCACACTCCATAGCTGCCACCTTGCAGAAAAATCATTGCCAATGTCCCAATTGTACATCCATTAAACTAATGACCAAAAAAGTACAGAATGTAGTGTCCTACTGCAAAAAAAAAAAAATCATCACAACAACAAAAACTCATGTCTGCCAGTTCTACCCAGTAGCCACCATCCTACAGAAAGAGCTGCCTCCACCTCCCTGTGCCTGCTCTCTTGGCTGTATTTCTTCCTCTGGCAGAGCCTAA